ATGGCTTGTGGTTCTGATGGGTCTGAGTTCAAGACCCACTTGCGGAGTGGTGTGAAACACAGTCTGTATCCAGAGTGATAGCTAGAGTTTTAAAGTTTAAAACGGAAGACTGACTTTGAGGTACTTGTAGAAGTTCGAGCGATAGAAGGGTGGGTGCCCGGTTGGCACACTGCATACAGACATGGCTTGTGGTTCCGATGGGTCTGAGTTCAAGACCTGCGTGAGGAATGTGTGAAGTACATGTCAGGGAGGTTTTTTTTAAATGGGAAGATTCAATAGGGGGAGAGAGAAAAGAAAGAGAGAGAACAAGACTAAAGGAGCTCAATAGGGGGAGGGAGAGAGAGGGGGAGGGAGAGAGAAAAAAATTAAGAGTGGAGAGCGAAACGAGCGTAGCTCGCTTCGCTCGCTACGCTCCATTAAGACAGGTGCGAGAGAAGCGAGCGTAGCGGGCTTCGCCCGCTACGCTCGCTTCGCTCTATTAAGAGTGTGGCTCCCCCCCCCCTCCCCCAAGAGCGTAGCGAGCGAAGCGAGCTACGCTCCCAACTGTCTTAAAGCGAGCGTGGCGGGCGAAGCCCGCCACGGTCGCATCGAGCGAGCGTACGCTCGCATTACTTTTAGTACAGCGTACGCTCATTACGTTCGCTCTGTCTTCTCCCCCTCCCCCATTGATCTCGCTCTGTTTTCTCCCCCTCCCCCTATTGAGCTCTTGTAGTCCTGTTCTTGTAGTCTTGTTCTCTCTCTCTCTCTCTCCCCCTCCCCCTATTGAATCTTCCCATTTAAAAAGCCTCCTTGACATGTGCTTCACACATTCCTCAAGCAGGTCTTGAACTCAGACCCATCAGAACCACAAGCCATGTCTTTATGCAGTGCACCAACCAAGCACCGACCCTTCAATTTGCTCAAACTTCTACAAGTACTTCAAAGTCAGTCTTCCATGTTAAACTTTAAAACTCTAGCTGTCACTCTGGATACAGACTGTGTTTCACACCACAAGCAGGTCTTGAACTAACAACCACAGGAACCGAAACCCAGTCTCTATCCACTGAGCCAACCAAGCACCTGCCAAAGTTGTCTTTCGAACTCCTACACATATCACAAAGTCAGTTTTCCTTGTTAAACTTTAAAGGAAAACTGAAGCAGGTCTTGAACTAACAACCACCGGAACAGAAACCCAGTCTCTATCCACTGAGCCAACCAAGCACCTGCCAACTCTTCTGCTCAAACTACTACAAATATCAACCGTGCCTCAAGCAGGCCTTGCACATATCTTGAGGTATTTTCATCTTCATCTAACAAGTGACTTTCAGGGTACTTTCATTGATCATTCACTGACAGGTTGAACTAATGACTCTCGGTTCAAGAAAACAGGCTCTTCAAAGTTTTAATTATCAGTCAAGATTGCATGTCACATTTCACTAACAACAAAGTTCATCGTGCTTTACATCATAAAGATACAAAACTTTCCCAAGGGCTGGCCAATCTCAAATTGTTCCAGGCTCCACGGTGTCCTGTTTGAAAACGGGATGTAGCTCTCGTCTCATTTTCAAACTGCATCATGCATGAAAACTATGAAGACTTTACATACTTTGACGATGAGGCCAGACTGTTACTGGCAGGTTGGGCTAAAACAGCAAACGAGTACTTAAGTATTCATTTACAACTCTGACATTTCCTGCTCCAGCTCAGTGATGCGCTCACCCTGCGGCTTCTCCTCCTCTGCTGGTTCCGACTTGGTCGAGTCCGAGTGGCCACCTGGCACGTGCTGGTTATGGTGGGAAAGAGTTTTTGTCTGTGGTGCTGGGTTTACATTCTGGTCAGCAGGAGGAGGATGTTCGGCAGCTGCAGAGACATGAGGCACTGGTTGCTGCTGGCTATCGTGCCGCAGGATCCGCTGCAGCCTGTTCAACGTGCCCAGAACCTGCTGATGCTGTGATGACGGAAGTCTGAACAGTTTGCAAATGATGAGAAACAGGAACCCGGTCCATTGCTGTTTGACTGTAATCAAAACAAAAGTGGTTGTATTCAAAGCAATTAGCTTAAGTATACAATTACATGTGGTCAGTGTGAAGAATTAAACAATTAAAACACATTTTCTTTATGTAAATAGAGCCCCAAAGAAAATCCTTTTAAAAATGCAGGTCTGTTTAGAGCAGGAATTGTGTATTTAGCTCTGATCGCTGTGGCACTTTTTGTTACCTTTTGAAAATATATATATTTTTAAAAAGACTGGGAAGAAAATGTATTTGTTTTCTAGTCATTAGTTGTTACAATCAATAAAACAACTTTAGACCCACACCCCGACTTGGAAAATAAACAGATTTCTTATTTTCAATTACAGAAAACCTAAAATTATTCTGCTACGTTTATATGTGGAGATTCAACACACAGTATCACAGAAAACTAAATCATGTTACTATACCGTATTTCCTACTTAGCAGCTGAAATATCATTGAAATCTGCTTTACTTTGAATTCTAGCCTTTGGGTTTCATGCAGTTTATCACTTTGAACAGTTCAGGACCTGATAAGAAAACAGATGCTTTGATTAACACATAATTAGAATCAAAAAATTAAAGAATCTAGCGCCTTTTACTGCATTATATAATATCAACCCTTTTATATAATCTAAGTTGGCACAGCAGCCATTTTGTGATCCTTGACTTGCAAGCTTAGCGGTAAACAGTGAAAACACGAACCACAGAAACCCGTCATTACTCACCTAAATGTCTTATTATCTCCGAACGCAACAGCAACAATAAAAAAAAAACTGCTTTCAATCAGGTAACCAGGCTACTTAGCAGCTAAACCGACCAGCTACTCCAAATGATTGCATGACATCACCTGTCTGGAGCTGAGCTCTCCAGAGAGGCAGGTGAGGTATCAGGAAAACTCAATCCAGGTGTGTGGCAGAACGGGAACAACCTAAAACAAGATTTGACCAGGCGAGGCGCCCTCTAGTGGCTAAGTACGGTACTGACGTTTCTATAAAAACATTCCATATGCACGTTCAGAAAACCTTTTCTAACGAGAGAAAAATAAAGATATTGTCAAAAAAAAGACAGAAAGGCAGAAAGAAAAGAAATATATATATATTCATACACACCACCGTAAAGGCTTGAAATACATTAAAACTGATTAAGTTACAGCAAAAACATTTATTCCACAGTGAGAGAAGTTTTGGAGTGAATGCTACACAAGCTCCTAATGATCGCTTAGATATGAGCAAGTTGTGTATTTCTGTAGTTCTCTCAGTGAGAAGACAGGAGCTTGATTTGTTTTCACCTGCCATAAACCAGAAGGATTGTAGTGTGTCATAACAAGATGTGACCACGAGAGGGCGGTGGAGAGACAGTTTCTGGCGAAAACGGAGTTTATTTCACAAGTGAATCATAAAGAGCGATGGTTTTTACTTTTTTGTGGTGAATATTTAATATTATGTACAAGGTTTTTTTTATACATAAGCGTTTGGAACAACAAAATCAGAGGAAGCTACTTAAAAGCACCATATTTATAACACTAGCAATATGCTAACATCATGGCATCAAGCCACAGGTGCAAAAATTACAGAAATTATTTAATACAGTTTGTTTCTTCCATATTCTGCTACACATCTTTCAAAAAGATTTTTTTTATCAAATGTAAATTTCTTAATTAAAAGCTACTTAAAACTAATAAAGGCCTATGATAAACAGTGTTATTTCGCAGAAAAAAACAAATCACATCTCACATTTGCACATGACGCTGATGAATTGTCTTTTTCTGACGCAGATCAGTGAAGCAGCAAGTTTGTGCTTGAAAATGCATTTAAAGAGCATCAGTTTAAATGTTGAATAATAGACTCCATTGTTTCTTTGCAGAGCTCTGTGGATCCACAGCCTCCTGGTTCTGAGCTTCATTTGAGTGGTTTTGCTTCAACCTCAGTCAAGTTTAGACTTTATTAGAATTAGTAGTGAGATGCTAAAATCCAGAATGGTGGGTAGAAAGCAAATTGCTTCTGCAACTTAAAATGTGTTTAGGTGCAACAGGCCTCAGTATTTCTGCTAAAGTGGAAGTTCAAAACAATGTTAATATTCCTAGTTTCAGAAGCTGATTTGTTCATGGAGCTGATCCAGTAAAAGTTGGTTTCATTGTAAATATCAGAATGTAATTGTTTGCAATTGAAACCAAATGATTATTCTCGTTGCTTGTTCTGCAGATTCTCGTAGGCTGATTGCAAATGTCCCACAGGTGGTGATCCTTGCTGAATGTGTGGCTTCTTCCTCTGTGCTTCAGTCCATGTGGAAGCAGTGTTGGTTAGTTTAGCATGAAATGTCTTGCAAAACCTTTTATTTCTTTGTAGGTGAAGAAGTGCAGCCCCAAAGAGAGGAAAGAAAACATGAGACTTTGTCGAGAATGTGACAAACTTTATTTCTTGCAGATGTCTTCAGTTCCTGAGCAACCTGGTGAGTCAAACAGTGTCAGAAATGTTGTTCCTCTTTCCTTTGGAGGTTTCATCAACTGTCTTGCTGTTTGTTGAATGCGTGTCATTTCTGCTACCCAAAAGTAGCAGAAATGACATGCATTGTTTGTAATTTTGAAAATAAAGAAAATGTTCTTGTCATCTTTGTGGCTGCTTCTTCTTTTGGATCCTTGTTAAAGTTAAAGTTAGTTTTTGAGGAATGCACACACAACAACAAATCTTGCACTGAGCAATAACAGTGTCTTTATTGCAACACCACAAAAGCTTCTAATAAGAGCCATCTTGGTTCAGGAAGCAGAGTTGATACCTGCAGAAACAGAGGAGTCTTCTTGTCTGCAACATAACAAACATTAAAGTGCATCAATCACTGACATTTGTTGAATTGCTGCCACTTAGCTTTTCTGACAAACATCCCCTCACTGTGGCTGAAAAGCAGCTCTCTTCAGACTACCTGATGATCTCCTGCATGGACATAAAACCACTTTAGTTTCACATCAACACAACAGTTTGCATCAGAAAATAATCTACTAACCTGCCTTGTTCTTGTTCTGCCTTTACTGGACAATCACAGGAGGAAATCTGTCAATCTTGACCTCTGCTCCCCAACTGAAAAGTTACAAATCAAGTCATTAGATAAGAATCTCAACATTAATACAACTAGCTAGCGAGTTACATACCTCTTTTGATGGACTGACCACATGGGGAGGATTGAAGACAACATCCGCCTTCCCACAAAACCTTGGAAAAACACTCTGCACCTGGACAACAAATACATCTTTCAATACAACATTGACTGACTAGATTGCCATATTTTGGAACTGACAATGAAACTGTGAGAGTAATTTATCATGCTTTGATAAAGTCAGTTTCATTCAACAACACGTAGAAAACTCTTTGGGATGTTTCTCTGTGATGACGGGCTGCAGGCGGTTCTGTCTGTGCATAAGATCAGAAACATTACAAAACATCTGCTTTGACTTGACATTGATAATGCAGCACAATGAGCAACTTTACACATTACAATCAATCCTATTAAACTCTTCATTGTAGGACAAAATCTCAATGTTATTAAAGAGAAAATTAAGCAATACATTCAACTGTTCATAAATCTATACGTAGCTTTTCCTCAAACCTTTTCTCGTTCTTCTTTTAGCTATGAAAATAAACACTTCTGTGGAGCCTATTTTAAAGCTTTTCTATCATTTTTTTTAAAACTGTCAAGCTTTATTGTGACAGCTTTAATGTCACAATAAAGCTGTCAGTCTGAAAATAAAAGAATATTTATCCAAAAGCCAATGGCCACTCATTGAAAACTTCAGGAAACTGGAGTCAGTTATGAGAAACAACTGACTATAGTTATTAGTCATTGTATCAATTACAAACTGCAGTGACTTTAGTTCAATGTCTTTGACCAACATGGAGTCTACAGGAACACATACATACATGTGAGAGGCAACATTTGGACATTTCAAACATGCTTTCAGGAGAAAACGACTCCCCAGAAACATTAGTGAAAAAATATACATGATATATACATGATTGTTTGTCTGGGAACCAAATACTTTGTGTTAGTTGTTGCATCGTTGCCTGAAATTCATCTGCAAGCTGTAAGGTCACATGAAACCTGGAGGCTAAAAGCCCTGGACCAAAACTACAGAGTCTGAAGGTCTGATAAATTCACTCAATGTTTATGATTACAGGAAAGGAAGCCTCTACTGTAGAGGTTTTCTTTGGATCTGTTACTGTGATGAAACTAAAGTTTCTTTGAATTATTAATAACCATCAATGCTCTCTATTGTATCTAAATACACAGAGAGTCAGTTGTATAAATTAGACAGTAAATGCTGTGTTCAGGCTACATATATTAACATTCACCAACCATATTGATATTATTATGATCTTTACTATTTACCAACATATTAAACTATGTTTCCTTTTACATTTCTACTTTTTAGCCTGTTTTTAGTCCTGATTATTTCTACTAACAATCAGTGTCGTCTCATTAAATATTGACATGTTTGGAGACATTTCATGGATTCATGTCAGAGATGCTGCTTTTGAGAAATGACTAGATTTATTTGCTTCTCCAAGAAGAGACATTCTCTGATCATCAAACATACAGATGAACAACATTGATTAGCCTCTATGGATGATTCCTGCTTGACCTCCAGAGTTTTTAGATGCTTTTCTGCTTCATATTTATCTTGGCTGCAGAACCTCACCTTCCTTATTTAACATCACATGTTGATTTGCTCACATTTCGACACTAACATTAATGTCTTCTGTTCACCATCATGTCTGTGTGTCATTCGGTGTCACAGTGACTCACATGTTCAGAGCTGCAGGTCAGACGCCAGAAAAGCACAAACCGCTCCGGAGCCGCTGTCCACCTCCACGGACACGCGGGGCTGCAAACAGCCCACAGTTACACAGACATCAGGGAAACAAACATCATGCACAGTGGGAAGGTGCAGTCCTGCCTCATCTGCTGGCTTGGATGTAACATTAATCTTTGCTTCATCACATCCTGAAGTTCAACAGATAAAACAGGATTCGTTTATCGGGTTGTTGAGCCTTTTCCTGTCCCTGGATCTGACCAGAGACCCTCTAAACCTCCTCACTTCTAGAAATGCAGCATTTCAGCTTTATATTAAAAACAGTAAACTACAAAACAGCTTCCATTAAATACATCAATTGGACATGATGAGCTTTAGCTCTTCAGAATTGTCAATATGGCTGACTCTCAGATCCAAAATGTGTCCATGTTTACGCTATTTGACATGAATATTTTATCTGCTTCACATTCTAACACAGCATCTAAACGTATGACCGTTTTTAACATACATAATACATGGTTACACTGATAACCACGACATAACATGCATTGACAACCAGAGAAGAAAAGGAACATTATTTTGATTTGAAATTAAACATTGAACACTTTTCTATATAAAAACATGCTATGACAGTCTTTACTATATGTGTGACCAAAACATTCATCACATAATCTGGAATAAGAGATACCAATTGATGTTTTCACACCTATTTCAAGTTCATCTCCTCTTGTTGTTGCGTGCTGTAATTGATGAAATCAAATAATCCTGAGATACGTAACAAAGTTTGGAATAAATATCCTTTCTGTGGTTTGTCACAACATTTCACATTTTTTACTTTACAGAAACATATACTTCCATTTCTTTGGTTGTTTTTTTTTTTTTTTTTTTTTTTTTACAATTGCTGTGTTTGTATTTGGAATATTTATTTTTATTTCCTTATTTTAAGGAACATCAGCCGGTCTTTGGGTTTCCCCTCCAGCTGATTTATCGTCTCACTTGAGTTCATAGTTTCTCTCTAAGGACACATTTATCAGCAACTCTGAAATTATTTCAGCTATAATGTTTCTGTATTGTTGAATTACTCTGATTCCTTCCTCAGAAAGCCTCACCGAAGGAAAGCAGTGACAACAGGTTTCTGCAGGGTTATCTCTCAGCGGGAACCAAGGCCTCTAGAAAACTGACTGTGAAGATGTACAACTTGCTCTGTTTAACCCTGTGTCTGGAATGAGAGTATCAAGTGCAAGATACCTTGTGTTTTAGTTAGTGATTGTCTTTGGCTCTGTAGCCATGTGATGAAGTGTTTTCCCCTCCCTTTAGAGTTACAGTGTGCTTTGTGATTAGGGATCCTGAAAACAATAAAAAGAGAGAAGCAGGCAAATGTGGTTTCAGAGCAGCAGGAGATTGTGACTGAAAGCACATCTCTGTCTGTTCTCCTCACGAGTAAGAAAGAATCTAAATCTCTTGTCTTTCCTGTGTTTGTTGAATCTGTATTTAATAGGTGTTAAACCTGACAAGAGTGAAACAAAAACTAAAGATAGAAAACATTCAGTATTTCTGTTTTGCTGAAGCAGTTATGAAACAGAGCCGCTTTTTTCATGGATTCAACAGAAAACCAACAAAACAAACTATTTTTATTTTTGATAGTCGATTATGAGCGCTCACTCCCCTCTGGTGGTGAAATATTGCAACTACAGATATTCCTATTAGCAGTAATTTCTAACATTTGATCATGTTAGATGATCATTTGTTTAACTTAATTTGTTCTCATTTTCACTTTTATCAGTTCAAATAAAATCAACTTAAATTAAAGTTTCTAAAGAGCCACTGCAAAGTTAATAAATGGAAAAGAAAATTAAACTTACTTCAGAAAAATCCTCCCAAAAAGATTAACTGTCGTTAATTTTTAGAATCAAGGCCTGAAAAATATAAAGAATGAAAATGATAAAATCCAACCTGCTGACATCAGAGCATTGAGAAGGACGAAAATATCAAATGGAGAAAAATTAAACATAAAAAATTTAATTTTAAAACATTACCAGTTATTACTTAGTAAATTGTATGAATGAATGAATCTGTGACTAAATTTATAACACATACAATGATATGATGTTGCTGCTGTTAATTTTATTTAAATACCTTTATCAGTTTGACATGACTATCGAGGAATAGGAAAATTAAATGTTGGTGCTTGAAAACTTCAGCAGAATTTAATTTTGTGCTTTTGATTAAACATTTCAGGGAGAAAAACAGGAAAACTAAAAGCATTATTTAATATGAACGCTAACCGAGAATATTACCATAAGCTCTTAATGTGAAAGAAACTACCGGAAGTGATTGTGGTATGTATGTTCTCTAACTTTATAGAGTAGCTACAGTTACCATCTGGGTCCACTAGAGGGCACTAACCGCCCTGCTCTGAGAGAAGTTCAGTTTGTTTGTTGTGCATCAATCTTCTGAATGTTTCCAGGATAATTTAATCGATCATAAATATTCTCCTGGCCTCAAATCGCAAGCTCAGAGTCTAAACCAGAATTGGAGAGCTTCGTTTCAACTCTTATGGAGCCAAAGCTCCTCTGAAGCTGCTGCTAGAGTCTTTTAGCATCGCTAGCATCGCGAGAACCGCCAATAGTCTCTGCGGGCTGTTTTCAACTCTGTGCAGCTCCTTGTCCACACTGACCGATAAAACACTGATTGCATGTTAAAGTAGGGATAACAGTTATTATTAACATTCAATTATTAATGTTAATAATAATATGTATCATGAGAAAGATATAAACCTGATCAACTTAAACGTCAAAGCTGCAGCTCAAAAACTCACCTCTATATTCGGAGCGGCGTATTTCCGCCCTCTGGTGGCCATAGCGGGAACTACAGCCCTGATAAGGCTGTTTTTTTTTTTTTTTTTTACATTTAATATCCAATTTATAAAATAAAACTAACAATTTTCTCAACCAGAAGACAAAAAATAAATTAATCAAAAATAATATTACAGCCATTTAGAGAGTTTTAAATCATAAAAGATAGCTGGTGTGTTAAAACTCTTTACAGTTTTTTCAGTGTCTCTTACTTCCCGGCATAAACATATGCTGACTTGATAAAAGTGAACATTAAAACAAATTAAAATAATTCAAAATGCAAGGTAAATAACAGCTACTTAGAAAAAAATAATACCATAGAAATGTAGTTACAAAAATGTTTCTATTCAGTTAAAATCCTTACAAAAATATTAACTGAGGGTAATTTTGAGAATCAGTCTGGAAAAACTATAAACATTTTATTAGTCGTGAAAGTCAAGCAGCTAAGATTAGATCAGAATAAAACAATCTAATGAAAAATAATAAATAATATTAAAATTAACAACTCAAAGAAGCTTTTAAAAATGTTTGAGCATTTTAGTGAACAGAAGATTATTTACATTTTTAGGTTTGTTTTTGCCAGTTAGTCACTCTGTACTGCCCTCCTGTGGTGACACAATGTAACTACACACTAAAATCATTTAGACGAGCTCAATGATAAAGTTCTATGATAATAAAACTTTGATCTATTATTAGTGAACTGAAGGTCAGTCGCTGCTGTTCAGCATCAGAGTTTAGATCCGCAGCTGCTGATAATCAGCTTCTATGTAAAACAAGATGCTGATAGTCTGTTAGCATCGCTAGCATCGTTAGCTCCGCTCAGAGTCTCTGCGGGATGTTTTCAACTCTATGGAGCTGCTTCTAGTTCACACTGACAGAGAAAACATTGAAATGAACCCAGGAGAAGAATCTGCCTCCATTTATCTCACTGGGAATCAGTTATCCCGCTGGTTTGAAGCTGGAAACCAGTTAGCTTCCGCGCTAAAGACTCGCATCATTCCCAGCAGCGAGTCTTTCTTTATTGGTTACCATTGCGACCAGGAACCTCAGCAGTGAGTTCAGTCCCTCTGGTGGCGAAACCTAGTAATTACAACAACAATAAAGTTGGAAAATTTACAAATACGTTTCCTGTGAGATCTTTCAAAATAAAATACCGGGAAGTAAAATAACTACTGTGATAGTTATTTTAGCATCACTAAGAATCAGTGAAGCTGATTAATCAGCATTACTAAGAAACTTGGAGGAAAAATAATATTTATTAATGAAATGATTCTCATGTATTTTATTTGAACATCTTCAGTCTAAATAATGCAAAAATGAACTGCAGCTTTAAATTATAAGCTTAAAAATTCTCAAATCAACTGAAATGGATGTTTCTGATTTTATTGAAATAAACTGTCAAACAAAAGATACAAAATCAAAATATATTTGGATTTATTGTTAATCTGAATACAATAAGCTGAACAGCACAGAGGATTAAAATAAAGATGTAGTTACAATATTTGTACAAAATAAAATGCATAAAACGCCCACAAAAAACATTATGAAAAACTTTATTAGCTCATCATTAAACACAGAGGAACCCACGTTACATTAAAATAAATATGAACAAAATATGAACCAGTCACCACGTTATCCCATGAATTCTGAATAAATCAGCACAACCACAGTAAAGAGCCTGATGTGACATATTGAGTCTCCATTCCCCCTAATGTTCTCTAGATTAACTGGAAAACTGAAAAAGTTCACCACCAAAAACAAACTGAGAAATATTATAGCAGTGAGAATCAATGACTATGATGCAAAACTTGATTACTTAAATACTTTTATAATGACTATAAAATATATATGTATATTTATTCAGATTAAAAGATGGATGTTCCTGAAAACTGCTCCAAGATCAGAGTTTCTGTGGGACATCCAGTTCTAAACTGGTTAAACTGGTTTCTGTGGTGGAAGCTGAAGTTTCTCTGCCGTTTCCAGTAAAACATCTTTTTATCTGTGGAGCTTTAAGGAACATTTTCATGTCAACAGAAGGAAGAAGCAGCAGAGAAAAGAGGTATGAAGTGTCTTTCATGACTTTAAAGCTGAACTGGAAATGATTCCCATGTTTCCATTCTCAGACCATTTCTGGTTCCAGGATGAAAATGAACCAGAGAGAAAAAAGATCAACTTTCCAGTTCAGTTGAATCCAGTTCAGATCAAAACTCCATGAAGCCTCTAAATGGAGCCCAGTTTGAATCAGATCTTTATTGATCCAAAGAGACAAACAATATCAGAGACTAAATGACAGACATGAGAAAATAAACAGGAGGAAAATCTTTGAGGTCAGAGGTCATAATCATGATCCAGAGTCTCTTTAGACTCAAACTGCTGCAGCTTCAACCTGTGAGGATCAGCAGGACACAGAGACGTTCTCTACTTTACAGAGATCAGAACCTGCAGAGAGAAGAAGGAAGGAGAGCAGATCAGTGAGTGTTTCCAGCCTCTCCAGCAGCAGTCAGTGACGCAGCACATCCAGTAGATGGTTTCCAGTCAGACTGATCTCAGAGCTGTGACCAAGATGAACCTGATCAGTCATTTCCTGTTGAACTGAGAGAACAAGCAGGTCTGAGATCAGATCTGCTGCTGTTTGATGAATGAGGACCACTGTCTCTAGACATGTTGGACGGCTGGACGGCTGGAGTCCAGCTGGACGTCCTGGAGACATGGACACAGCAACAACACAGCAAGCTGCTGCTCCTCTGATTGGCTGATTGCTGTGTCCAATCAGGAAGCCTGAACCATTCTCCTCCCACTGAGAAGCTGCAGCTTTACTGGGAACACTGGATCTTTGCTTTGATGCTGACTGGGTTTAGTTCAATATGCTGACAGCAGCTGGACTCACTGCAAACATTTACTTACTTTAAAGTCGCTACAAGATCCTTCAGCTGCTGAACATCTGATTCCTTCAGGCTGTTTTCTCTCAGGTCCAGTTCTGTCAGACGGGTCGGGTTGGACTTCAGAGTTGAGGCCAAATCATCACAGCTGATCTTTGACAAACTGCATTCATTCAACCTGAATAAAGAATAAAAGATGTGAACCAACAGGATGCAGGTTAACCAGTCCAACAGAACCAGTTAAAGATTCTCATGAATATTAATGCCAACAAGCTGCTGCTCCAATAAAGACCTGCTGACTTCAGAACCAGAACCAGAACCAGAACCTGGTACTGGTCATGATGTGTTGGAGGATTTTAGTCAATAAAATCATTCCAGGTTCTGATCAAAGTGTTGAAGCATCTATTATTGATTATTGATTTGTTCCTGTCAGATTCCAGGAATTCACTTTTCTAGACTGGATGACCTTTGACCTGCTTGACCTGAGGGGGATTTCTACACACTGGGGTCCGAATGCTGTCCTGTTCTGACCTCAGATCAGCAGGTCCAACTCAGTTACACAGAGAAACTAAATTAAACTCTGGATCCAGGAACAAACTCAGAAAATATTGATTAGATCAGAAGAAATGAACTTTGATTTATGATCAATTATATAGAATTATTCACAGAAATATCAATAATTATATCATTAAAATACCCCAGTCTCTCCAGTCTGCAGCCTTCAGTCTGTAGAAAACCACAGAGATCCTTCAGTCCAGAACCTTCCAGGTTGGTGTACTCCAGCCAGAGTTTTGTCAGATGGGTCGGGTTGGACTTCAGAGCTGAGAACAGAGACGTCCAGCTGGTCTCTGATAAACTGCAGTAAGTCAATCTGAATAAAGAATAAAAGATGTGAACCAACAGGATGCAGTTAAAACTGAAATATGAACAAATCAATAATAAAAATGTATAAATTAATTTCCCTGAATGTAAAAGAAACATGATGAACTGATTCTAACATGTGATCCAGTCAAACTGGTTTAAAGAGTCCAAACCAGCAGAACCAGAACATTTGATCAACAAAGAAACTCAAAGTTTGTCTCAAAGTTTCTGAGGATCTTAAACTCAGTGGATGTTTTTCTCTCCATGTTTCCTTCCAGGCTCTGGATTCTCCGACTGCTCTGTCCATCATTGATCTGCTGATATTTTATGGCTCCAGTTTTTCTTCATTAATCTATTAATGATGTTTTTCTTGCTGCTTGTATTTGAACTGCAGCTCATTGCTCAGTATGACAGATGGAAACGGGTTGATTTCAATCCTTTTATAATATCATCACATTCTGAAAGTTGATCATTTTGTGCTGATTCAGTTTCTGAACCATCAACTAGAAAATATTGATCCTTTTCTCTGTGAGGTCATTGTGGGTCATTTGGTTCTGGTTCTGAATCGTTCATCAGAGACGCTGCAGAAATGGGAATATTGATCAGGATATCAGCATCTTTAATCTGGTCTAGTTAAAGCACTGCAACACCTGGACTCTGTGAACCTGGACTGGATCATCATCAACTAATAGCAGAAGATTTAAAACTAATGTGGGATTTATGGATATTCAATAAAGGGACATTTCATGTTGACCTTTGACCTGCTTGACCTGAGGGGGATTTCTACACACTGGGGTCCGAATGCTGTCCTGTTCTGACCTCAGATCAGCAGGTCCAACTCAGTTACACAGAGAAACTAAATTAAACTCTGGATCCAGGAACAAACTCAGAAAATATTGATTAGATCAGAAGAAATGAACTTTGATTTATGATCAATTATATAGAATTATTCACAGAAATATCAATAATTATATCATTAAAATACCCAATGTCTTCAGTCTGCAGCCTTCAGTCTGTAGAAAACCACAGAGATCCTTCAGTCCAGAATCTCCCAGGTTGGTTCTGTTCAGGTCCAGTTCTGTCAGATGGGTCGGGTTGGACTTCAGAGCTGAGAACAGAGACGTCCAGCTGGTCTCTGATAAACTGCAGTACCACAACCTGAATAAGGAATAAAAGATGTGAACCAACAGGATGCAGTTAAAACTGAAATATGAACAAATCAATAATAAAAATGTATAAATTAATTTCCCTGAATGTAAAAGAAACATGATGAACTGATTCTAACATGTGATCCAGTCAAACTGGTTTAAAGAGTCCAAACCAGCAGAACCAGAACATTTGATCAACAAAGAAACTCAAAGTTTGTCTCAAAGTTTCTGAGGATCTTAAACTCAGTGGATGTTTTTCTCTCCATGTTTCCTTCCAGGCTCTGGATTCTCCGACTGCTCTGTCCATCATTGATCTGCTGATATTTTATGGCTCCAGTTTTTCTTCATTAATCTATTAATGATGTTTTTCTTGCTGCTTGTATTTTAACTGCAGCTCATTGCTCAGTATGACAGATGGAAACGGGTTGATTTCAATCCTTTTATAATATCATCACATTCTGAAAGTTGATCATTTTGTGCTGATTCAGTTTCTGAACCATCAACTAGAAAATATTGATCCTTTTCTCTGTGAGGTCATTGTGGGTCATTTGGTTCTGGTTCTGAATCGTTCATCAGAGACGCTGCAGAAATGGGAATATTGATCAGGATATCAGCATCTTTAATCTGGTCTAGTTAAAGCACTGCAACACCTGGACTCTGTGAACCTGGACTGGATCATCATCAACTAATAGCAGAAGATTTAAAACTAATGTGGGATTTATGGATATTCAATAAAGGGACATTTCATGTTGACCTTTGACCTGCTTGACCTGAGGGGGATTTCTACACACTGGGGTCCGAATGCTGTCCTGTTCTGACCTCAGATCAGCAGGTCCAACTCAGTTACACAGAGAAACTAAATTAAACTCTGGATCCAGGAACAAACTCAGAAAATATTGATTAGATCAGAAGAAATGAACTTTGATTTATGATCAATTATATAGAATTATTCACAGAAATATCAATAATTATATCATTAAAATACCCAATGTCTTCAGTCTGCAGCCTTCAGTCTGTAGAAAACCACAGAGATCCTTCAGTCCAGAATCTCCCAGGTTGGTTCTGTTCAGGTCCAGTTCTGTCAGATGGGTCGGGTTGGACTTCAGAGCTGAGAACAGAGACGTCCAGCTGGTCTCTGATAAACTGCAGTACCACAACCTGAATAAGGAATAAAAGATGTGAACCAACAGGATACAGTTAAAACTGAAATATGAACAAATCAATAATAAAAATGTATAAATTAATTTCCCTGAATGTAAAAGAAACATGATGAACTGATTCTAACATCTGATCCAGTCAAACTGGTTTAAAGAGTCCAAACCAGCAGAACCAGAACATTTGATCAACAAAGAAACTCAAAGTTTGTCTCAAAGTTTCTGAGGATCTTAAACTCAGTGGATGTTTTTCTCTCCATGTTTCCTTCCAGGCTCTGGATTCTCCGACTGCTCTGTCCATCATTGATCTGCTGATATTTTATGGCTCCAGTTTTTCTTCATTAATCTATTAATGATGTTTTTCTTGCTGCTTGTATTTGAACTGCAGCTCATTGCTCAGTATGACAGATGGAAACGGGTTGATTTCAATCCTTTTATCATATCATCACATTCTGAAAGTTGATCATTTTGTGCTGATTCAGTTTCTGAACCATCAACTAGAAAATATTGATCCTTTTCTCTGTGAGGTCATTGTGGGTCATTTGGTTCTGGTTCTGAATCGTTCATCAGAGACGCTGCAGAAATGAGAATATTGATCACGATATCAGCATCTTTAATCTGGTCTAGTTAAAGCACTGCAACACCTGGACTCTGTGAACCTGGACTGGATCATCATCAACTAATAGCAGAAGATTTAAAGCTAATGTGGGATTTATGGATCTTAATAAAGGGACATTTCATGTTGACCTTTGACCTGCTTGACCTGAGGGGGATTTCTACACACTGGGGTCCGAATGCTGTCCTGTTCTGACCTCAGATCAGCAGGTCCAACTCAGTTACACAGAGAAACTAAATTAAACTCTGGATCCAGGAACAAACTCAGAAAATATTGATTAGATCAGAAGAAATGAACTTTGATTTATGATCAATTATATAGAATTATTCACAGAAATATTAATAATTATATAATTAAAATACACCAATCTCTCCAGTCTGCAGCCTTCAGTCTGTAGAAAACCACAGAGATCCTTCAGTCCAGAACCTTCCAGGTTGGTTCTGATCAGGCCCAGTTCTGTCAGATGGGTCGGGTTGGACTTCAGAGCTGAGAACAGAGACGTCCAGCTGGTCTCTGATAAACTGCATTGATCCAATCTGAATAAAGAATAAAAGATGTGAACCAACAGGATGCAGTTAAAACTGAAATATGAACAAATCAATAATAAAAATGTATAAATTAATTTCCCTGAATGTAAAAGAAACATGATGAACTGATTCTAACATGTGATCCAGTCAAACTGGTTTAAAGAGTCCAAACCAGCAGAACCAGAACATTTGATCAACAAAGAAACTCAAAGTTTGTCTCAAAGTTTCTGAGGATCTTAAACTCAGTGGATGTTTTTCTCTCCATGTTTCCTTCCAGGCTCTGGATTCTCCGACTGCTCTGTCCATCATTGATCTGCTGATATTTTATGGCTCCAGTTTTTCTTCATTAATCTATTAATGATGTTTTTCTTGCTGCTTGTATTTGAACTGCAGCTCATTGCTCAGTATGACAGATGGAAACGGGTTGATTTCAATCCTTTTATCATATCATCACATTCTGAAAGTTGATCATTTTGTGCTGATTCAGTTTCTGAACCATCGACTAGAGAATATTGATCCTTTTCTCTGTGAGGTCATTGTGGGTCATTTAGTTCCGGTTCTGAATCGTTCATCAGAGACGCTGCAGAAATGGGAACATTATCATAAAGGAACAACCTGGTAGTGAAGATGAATCATTTTAAATCTATTTTCCAGTAAAACACATGAGAATGATTTCAGTGAACTGCTGAAGCTTGTTGCATACAAAGCATTACAAAGGTAAGACCTCACTTCCTGTCCTACAAAATAAGAGCTGAATCAAGATGTTTGAACAAAATGACTTTAACAAAGTCAGTATTTCCTGCAGGACTGTTAATGAATCATCTTGATATTATTTATGTCTCTTCATGTCCAGGATCTCTGCCAGCAGACTGTGGTCATCCTGATAGAGTCTGACTGTCACAACAAACTCAGATTTTTCTCTGGAAGCTGCTCTCACTGGTTTTAGGACGACTGACTTTCATTTGCTCCATTAGTGGAATTGACACTAAAATGGAAACTCATCACTTGCTTCCATTTAGTTTTGCTTCCTGCCAACATCAAACTGCTGCATGTGCTGCAGCTCCATATGAGCAGCAGTCAAGTCCCCAGAAAGCTTCCCTGTTTCTAGGAACCGTTTCATCCAGTTAGTCCACTTTCTCTGTCCGTCTCTGTCAGACTGTGAACCTTTAGTCTGAGCTTGTGGAGAACCTCTCCTAACAACCTGCTGCAGATCCATGTGATGCATCTCTGCTGGTTCTGATTCTGGGAGCAGAAACTCATGTCCTGAAGAACCTGCAGCCTGTTGAGCTCAGAGAAAAACTCAGTGGTCTGGATTTATTCAGATGAAGCTGAAGTTGGTTTCTGATTGAATCTTCTGATTCAGGAAGTGGATAAAGGGCCATTCCACCTAATTATTGACTATCAGCATCTTTAATCTGGTCTAGTTAAAACACTGCAACATCTGGACTCTTTAAACCTGGACTGGATCATCATCAACTAATAGCAGGAGATTTAAAACTAATGTGGGATTTATGGATCTTCAATAAAGGGAGATTTCATGTTGACCTTTGACCTGCTTGACCTGAGGGGGATTTCTACACACTGGGGTCCGAATGCTGTCCTGTTGTGATCTCAGATCAGCAGGTCCAACTCAGTTACACAGAGAGACTAAATTAAACTCTGGATCCAGGAACAAACTCAGAGAATATTGATTAGATCAGAAGAAATGAACTTTGATTTATGATCAATTATATAGAATTATTCACAGAAATATCAATAATTATATCATTAAAATACCTCAATGTCTCCAGTCTGCAGCCTTCAGTCTGTAGAAAACCACAGAACTCCTTCAGTCCAGAATCTCCCAGGTTGGTTCTGTCCAGGTCCAGTTCTGTCAGATGGTCGGGTTGGACTTCAGAGCTGAGAACAGAGACGTCCAGCTGGTCTCTGATAAACTGCAGTCCAAACTGAATAAAGAATAAAAGATGTGAACCAACAGGATGCAGTTAAAACTGAAATATGAAGAAATAAATAATAAAAATGTATAAATTAATTTCCCTGAATGTAAAAGAAACATGATGAACTGATTCTAACATCTGATCCAGTCAAACTGGTTTAAAGAGTCCAAACCAGCAGAACCAGAACATTTGATCCACAAAGAAACTCAAAGTTTTCTATCAGCCTGGATGAGTTGAGCTATTTCTGCTGGTTCCTGATCATCAGACCCGACTTGGTAACTGGGTCAGAACCAGTCAGGTTCTTCATTAATGGCCTTTGGGTTCCTATTAAAGCTGCTGAAAGCCAATGGAGGCCATTATTTCCTCAGGAGACGGTTCCTCTCTGACCCGGCCCAACAGAACCACAGCCTCAGGACAAAGCTGAGGAACCTGCTGCTGCTGCAAACCTCACTTTCATTCATTGCATCTAGATTTGCTTTTCTACAATCAGTGGTTTCTTAGACGTTCATTAATGAGGATTTGAACTCGTCAGTGTTTGTGGCTCTGGAGGATCAACATTTCATTCTGATGTAAAGAATCAGAAATAAAAGCATCTGAATCTTTACCAAACTGAAACATCTCCATCATTCATTCACAGCATTTCAATTATTTTGCTCATTTTGTTCATCAAAAACATTTTAAAGTGAAAAACTGAAAAACAAAGTTCAATAATGTCAAAGTCTGAAATAAGAAAATAATTAATAAGGTCAAATGTTTTAGAGATTTTATTCTGATGATTAAACAGGTTGTTTTAAAATATATATTAACATTAACTTGATTAACTATTGATTAAAGTATCAATAAATGATTTTATTGTATAAATAGAGAAAAAAACCTCAGAATCTTCACTTTACTGACTGAATTCTCCAGGATCTCAACCAGATGCTTCATATCAGAGTCTCCACCTCCCAGTATGTAGATCTGATTTATTACCAGTTCAGTCAGATCTGGGTTGGACTTCAGAATCGAGGCCAAAACTTCACATTCATCCTTTCGGAGCAAACAGCCACCAAGTCTGTGATTAGAGAAGAAATAAATTCAGTTCTAATGAAATCAATCTGGATCATAAACAGACTAAAATATGATAACAGTGATGTCATCATCTGATCAACATCTGATCTTCAATCTACTGAGTTTGACCCCAGAGAATCTGTGCAGTTCCTGGTTAGAGTCCAGGTTCTGGTTCTGGTTCTGGTCCAGGCTTCATGTCCTCAGACCTTCAGCTGCAGTCAGATGTTGAAGATCTTCTATCATCAGTGAAGGAAAGTTCAGTTTCTCTGCAGCAGCTGATGAAGAGGCTGACTGAGCTGAATGAAGGAAACGACTGGAGATGATGGAGAGGAGGAGGAACTGCTCACAGCTCTGACTTGGACTAGACCGTTTAGATCTTCCACCAAGCAGGAAGAGAGTTATAAATGAAGTGAGCAGAACAGGAAGTCCAGCTGCTGTGGACCTCTGGCATCTCTGGGTTTGTTGAGCCAATATCTGCTGCATCATCATGAATAATAGTAATATATGTATAGAAACATGTTTCCCAGCAGCAGGTTATTAAATGCTGCCACAGAGGAAACTGGGAGCAGAACAAACACATGATGCTCCAGTTCTGTCTCCGTTCATCTGCTGGATTTGATGCTTTAACAAAGTAGAAAGTGGACAGTTGTCAACCTGCTGCAGCTAAAAGCTTCACATTGTTCTGGTCGTCCTGCAGAGCAGCAGCAGAACCGGTCCTGCTGCTCCTTCGGGTCAGAACCGTCCTCTCAGACTGTCGATCTGAGAGGAACTGGGACAAACTGGTTGGAAGAGGGACACATGTCTCTGCAGTGGTCTGTCCATTGTCTCAGAGGAACAAAGGTTTGGATGTCAGGAGAAATTGTTGCTAAACTCCTAAAGAGCTGAAGAGCAAAACCCCTGGAGGAGACGGAGCGTTTGGGTCCAGCAGCATTTCATGGTGAAGCAGTGAAAGTTCTCCAGTAACTAGAAGAGGCTGGATGTCTCCAGAGTTGAAGCTCATGTCTCTGCAGGTCTTCATGGAGGACAGCTAACAGCTTCAACAAAGGCTGCAGATGAAGAGATCCTAAAATGTGAATGATGGAGCAGCGGCTCAATGAGTGAAGAGTTTAAAGTTTAAAAGTTTCTCTGGCTGATTGGATCTTAGAGAAAATAGATTTTCTAGAGTTCAGGGTTTTCTATTCATTTCATCCTGAAAACGGATAAAAAGTTAAATATATTTAAAATGATCAAAATGTCTAAAACCAAAAGCTGCATCTGTCCTGGATGAGCTGAATGTTTAGATGTTTGATTGGCTGAAATAATCCAGAGGATGAAGGAAGTAGATAAAGAGCAAAAACATCCAGAATCAACTTGAAGACAGAAGAAGAAACAGGAGGACAATAGAGCTGAATCAGCATCACACAATGAAAACATCTGGACTCACCGAGCCTTTCTGCAGTTCCTCACAGCTGGAAGCAGTCTCAGTCGTCCTGATTCTGATGTGTTGTACTTCTCCAGGTCCAACTCATCCAGAACCTCTGACATCTGCAGCATGAAGGCCAGAGCTGAACAGTCAGACTCTGAGAGCTCCTTCCCTGAATCCAGCAGCCGTTGGATCTCCTGATAAAATGAGACGTCGTTCATCTCCACCAGACAGTAGAAGATGTTGATGCTTCTGTCAGCAGAGATTCTATCAGTGTTCATCTTCTTCAGGTTGGTGATGATTCTCTGGATGGTTTCTGGTCTGGTCTCTGTCTGACCCAGCAGATCTTCTAAGAGTCTCTGGTTGGACTCCACAGTGAGACCATGAAGGAAGCGGACAAACAGGTCCAGGTGGCCATTTTGACTGCTGAGGGATTCCTTCATGACTTTCTTCATGAACTCATCTAGAGATGTTTCTCTGTATTTTTCTCCCAGGAACGTCTTGATCTCCTCTGACTTCCTGCTGGTGAAGCAGTGGAGCATGTAGACTGCAGCCAGAAACTCCTGGATGCTCAGATGAACAAAGCAGTAGACTGATTTCTGGAAGATCACACTCTCTCTTTTGAAGATCTCTGTACAAACTCCTGAGTACACTGAGGCCTCTGTGACATCCAGACCACACTGCTCCAGGTCTTCTTGGTAGAACATGATGTTTCCTTGCTCCAGATGTTCAAACGCCAGCCTCCCCAGCTTCAGAAGAACTTCCCTGTCAGCCTCCATCAGCTCCTGTGGACTTGTCTCATGTCCTCCATGGTACTTGTTCTTCTTCCTCTTTGTCTGGACCAGCAGGAAGTGAGAGTACATGTCAGTCATGGTCTTGGGCAGCTCTCCTCTCTGCTCTGAGGTCACCATGTTCTCCAGAACTGTAGCAGTGATCCAGCAGAAGACTGGGATTCCACACATGATGTGGAGGCTCCTGCAGGTCTTGATGTGGGAGATGATTCTGCTGGACAGCTCTTCATCACTGAACCTCCTCCTGAAGTACTCCTCCTTCTGGGCGTCGGTGAAGCCTCGTACTTCTGTTGCCCTGGTAACACATGAAGGAGGGATCTGATTGGCCGCTGCAGGTCTGGAAGTTATCCAGATGAGAGCCGAGGGAAGCAGGTTCCCCTTGATGAGGTTTGTCAGCAGAACATTAACCGATGATTTCTGTGTGACGTCAGAAACCAGATGACTGTTGTTGAAGTCCAATGAAAGTCTGTTTTCATCCAGACCGTCAAGGATGAAGAGGAGTTTGCATTTAGCCAGTTGCTCTGCTGGGAGCTTCTGGAGTGTTGGATGGAAAACATGGAGCAGAGAGAGAAGACTGTGCTGCTGATCTCTGATCAAGTTCAGCTCCCTGAACGAAAGCAGAACCACCACACTGACATCTTGGTTCTCAAAGCCCTCAGCCCAGTCCAGAGTGAACTTCTGCACTGAGAAGGTTTTTCCAACACCAGCAACGCCGTTGGTCAGAACCACTCTGATGGGTCCATGTTGATCAGGGAAGGCTTTAAAAAGGTCGTGGACCCTGATTGCAGAATCATGGAGGTTCTGGAACTTGGAAGCTCTCTCCAGCTGCTTCACCTCATGCTGGGTGTTAACCTCGTCACTCTGTCCCTCTGTGATGAAGAGATCAGTGTAGATCCTATTGAGGAGGGTTCTACTTCCTGTTTCATCACTTCCTTCAGTCACACGTTCACATCTTCTCCTCAGACTGATCTTATGTTCCTCTAGAACCTCCTGCAGACCAACATCTGCTGAAACACAGAAGACAACTGTAGTAAAAAACAAGATTCAGTGATAAAGTTGGAACAAAACCATCAGTCATTGAATGCAGGAGTTTTCAGTAACATCAACTCTTCTGCATCATGTCATCATTGAACTTATAGAAACAGAAAAATGTTTCCTCCCTTCATTTTCAGTCTTTATGAAAGAAATCTGGAGAGAAAAACTTTAATCTACCAAAGAAATGACTCATTACATCAGTAATGTTCACATTACAAAGCAAAATAAATTCATAAATTTGAATCTTAGTTCAAATTTACTGAGATATTTGCAGTCAAAACTACACAAAATACTTGGAATGAGAGTAACAAAAATAGACATTAATATAACAAACAACAACATAGACCCAGGTATCAAATTATACTCTTTGATGGCGTCTGAGGCCGCTGCTATTTTAGCACCAAATTATGGCCAAATCATATTAATTCTGATGTAAATAACATCCAGCAGGGGGCACAGCTCCTGTTAGTTCAGGTTTTAGGGCGATCTGAGTTGTGATTCACCATCTTACTTCTCATTCATGGAATCAAACTCAGGAAACAGTTTGGATTTTACAGAGCTGAAGTTGGCTTCAGATTGAGCTTCCAATTCAGGAAACGGTTAAAAGGCCGCCTTTACCTTTGAGTATTTTCAATCTGAGTTTGAGTTTGAGTTTAAAAGCTGAAATACCTGCACTCTTAAAATATGGGCTACATTATTCTACAATAATAGCAGAATACTTTAAACTATAGATTGTGATTAGGGAAAATATTTCCATAAATCCAGGTAAAAGCCAGGATCTGGCAGACAGGGGACAAGTCACTAGTTATCTCTCTGAGTTTTTAATCTTCACTATAGCATGTAGTTATTGTTTCTAGTAATCTTTCTCTAGTTCACCTCTTGTGATTTCTGTGCTCCATGGTTTAAGGAGCCTTGTTGGTCCCCAGATTGTCCTCCACTCCTCTGTTGCTGCTGCAGCTCTGCTGTCCTCACATTCATCTGCCTGATTCTTCTCCAACAACGTTTGAATCACAAACTATTCACTTCCTGAAGAAGCTTTTCTGTAACATAACTCCTTATTATATTCTACATTTACCATCATCTGCCAGGCTACCTTGAACCAGGAGCTTTTCAGAGACTTCAGTGAGGTTGAGGTTGCTCAAAATCACTTTCTAATGGGCAGGAAGTGATTTAAACTCCGTGGCAGAGTTTAAATAATTTTCTCCCAAGTGTCCTTTAATCACTTCCCAAATTGAAAGCTATAATTGTAAACTCCAATTTTCCAGCAGAACCTTAACGGCCTGGTGAAATAACCAATAAAAATAGAAAAAAATCCTTTACAGCAGATCAGATTCACCATTTTAATTTGCTGAGCTAGAATTTTTGTCACTCTTTTATGTTGTTTTATTTTCACTTTATTTCTGTTATTCTAAACATAACATTAATATCAACCAATACCTGATTGCTGCTCTCTTTGCCATCCTTTCTGCTATTTCATTCTCCTTAACCTCATCATAAAATTATCTGTAAGAATCATCAAAGTGATTCTATGAAGTGATTGTTTTATTTAGAGCTGATGACATGTTATGCTGCAACATGACCCTTCAGAGTAAGAGTCTTCATTTATCATTTTGAAAACAAATTAAATAAAAAGTCAAATTTGTACATTTATCTTGTGGCCAATTTTTTGAACAAGGTCAAATTAAATGAGGACTTTATTAAGCCGAGTTACCGAGACATAAGATTCCACTAGCTGGAAAAAGTTGAAACAACTGATCACAAAAAGACTTTTAAACCTCAAATGTCCAAATCTCAACTAAAGACGTGGATCTGGAAAGAAGAAGCTCTGATTGGACATGTTCAGTCTCACCTGGAGCACGGCTGCTCTGATTGGCTGTCGGTCCAGATCCTGTTCTGGGTTGTTTCCCACACTGGGAGAAGCTGGTCCAACCCGAATCCATCAGAACATTCTGACCCAAAGCACAGCACAACTCCTCATCACTAAAGCTGCTCCTGTGAAGACATTTCTTCATCACTGAAATATTCACTAGCAACAGGCTGGAGCTGAACATGTTCATGAAGGTCCGCAAAGAACCAGGGACCAGAAACTGGGTCAGAACAGAACCTCAGAACATTGATGATTTCTGGTTTTAAGTACTTCATTGAATTATATTTGGTATGATGACTGATGCCAGTGTTCCCAGTCTGGAAGATGCTGGTTTCACTGCTTCAGTGGGTTTACAGACAATCTGAATTGTTGCTCCTCACATGTTTTTGTTTTCATGCAACATTTTAATCCATATTAATTCATTCAGACTGATTTACTGACCAACATCCTTCATGTCTAACTTTAAATTAATAAGTAAGAAAATTAAGTTACTGTTTATTAAAACACTGAGATCAACCAGTTAATTTATATTTTATCTCTATAGATTCACATGAATCAGTTAGAAACTGGTTTCTTACTTTCTGTCTGAGGGTCCAGGTTCAGTACTGAAGTCTAGAGGTTCTGGTTTGGACCAGTCACTCCTCATAGATGGACTGATGGATCCTGGAGGTTCTTTTAGATCCAGATTTTCCATCTTCTGGACCTTTTGAGAGAGAAACCAGAACCAGTCAGTCCCAGTGATCCAGTTCCAGTAACTGGAAGCAAAAAGCTGGTTCCCATCATGTGTTCAGAGAATCAGAGTGAATCAGGTGAATGAAGGAGTGAACATTTGACTCTACTGTAAATCTGTATGGAGGGAGTCAGTGTGCAGGAGGTTCTGAGGGAGCAGCAGCTCAGGTCGGGTCCACAGCTCTCCTCCAGACAGAACCGGGTCCAGCTGGGATCTCAGCAACATGTCAGCCTCTGTGTGCAGCTCAGCAGGATTTCCTCTCAGATAACGAATCACAAAGCAGCTTTCAGGGACCACAGCATCCAGCTGAGGTATCAGCTGGACCCGCTGCAAGGAATTATGGGTAAATACCAGCTGGACCGCCTGCAAGGAATCATGGGTAAATACCAGCTGGACCCACTGCAAGGAATCATGGGTAAACAGGTGCTTCTATAGGGGGATGAAGCCCCCCTCATTCAGTGAGGCCTGAAACATATTTAGTCAATTGATCCGTCTTAGAATATAAATTCAATATCAAGAGGCACATTAATGCAACATTTTTAGCTAGAAACTGAAATGTAAATAGTTTCTTACAACTGATACAAAATGTGTTTAAATTATTAATATTGCTCCATTTAAAGGAATTATAAAGTTATTTTAGGGATGCACCGATTGCAGTTTTCAGGCCGATCACTGAACTTTAAAAAGCCTGAACTCCTGATTTTGATTTTAGCCTAAACAATTTCATTTGTTGAGCTGGCAACTGGTTCTGGATCAGTCAGTCTGGATCTGGATGCAGTTTTCCAGCAGAGCTTTAAGAGACAAAGTTTCTACTTGCTGTAAGAAGCAACAAGAGGAAAACCTGGAAAAAGACGAATCTCAGTGAGGAGGAAGAGAGAAAATCTGTGGACTGCATAAAGCCGGTTCTGATCCGCAGATAAGAAAAACATGTTTCTGCTGAACCCCAGACTGCTGAGGGACGGAGTGATGTGATTCACTTTCTGCTGATTTCAACAAGCAGAGAAACTAGTTTACAATGTTTTTGTTCTATTTTTTTAAGGTTAAAACACCAGAGGTTTTACAGTGAGAATTCCTGCATCAAGAACACTGATGCACTGTAAAAAGTTACTTTAAGTTCTCAATTTATTTAGGTTAAATTTGAAAAGGTCATTATTGCACACTCTACACAAACCATATATATATACATGAAGAACTGTCTGATGAGATGATGCCACCAGCTCAGACTGACAGCTTCACAGGACAGAAGTTGGACAGTTTTCAGATGCAGCCGAACATGGAGAGGCTTCAGATTAATTATTTACTGATAAAAGCCTCTGAAGACAAGAGAAACATTTCAAAATCCTCCTGGATCAGAACCAGGACTGATTTGAACCCAATGGAAGTAACTTTATCTAGAAATAGTTTTTCACCCCCGTCTTCTGACACCCCATATCTCAGCTGGTCACAACTGGTGAAGACCTACTGGTCCCAGTTTGACTCTACAGTGTATTAAACTGGAGCTTCTTGGGTAGTAACTACTTAGTTACTCTGTTACTTGAGTTACATTTTTGAAAATAGCATTTCAGGAGTATTTTTACGATGCTGTACTTTGTACTTTTATTTAGAAGTATCTGATGTTGAAGTAGTGCACTCTAGAGAATCATTTCTGGCTGATCTGCCCACTTGTGCCGTTCATTTCATTTCTCCAGTCTGAAAATAACCAGAAACACTGACTGAGTTCAGAGCTACAGAACCAGGACCAACGGGTCGGTTCAGATTCCTGCAACAGAACAAGTGTTTACCTTCTGCTCTAAAGGGGCGGGACTTAAAAACAGGTTCTGAGCTGCAGTCCTGATGAGGAAGTTGCAGACATGAATCATAATCAGAGACCCACTGGTCTCCCAGTCTGTTTACTGGGAGAGTCTGAGATGAGGCCTCTTGTGATGTCATCAGAGGCTCGTTATGAAACAACTGAACAGAAACACGGAGCAGGACGTGTTGCTCTGCAGGAGACAAACTAGAATTTATTCACAAAGCTGAGCCAGAATCTACAATTTCATCCTGGAAACCAGTTTTTAATGATTCAGCTCAATTCTTCCTCTAAAACCAGATGTGAGTCTCTGAGGTCGGCATTTTCTGACATCAAGAGGAAGAGCAGCAGAACCAGTAAAGATACTGGAACCAGTTCAGCTCAGCAACAGGAAACTTTAAAAGAGTTTGTTTGTTCTGATCAACAGGAAACGTGAAGAAGCAGCGTTCAGCTTCTATGCACCACAAATCTGGAACAAACTTCCAGAAAACATCAAAACAGCTGAAATCAAGACTAAAAGCTTTCGTTTGTTTAGAGTTGCCTTTGAAACATAATAACTAGAAAATAAAGTAACTCTTTTCTGTATGACAACTTTTTTATAACTTTTCTTTATTTTCCACTGTAATGTAAAGTTACTTTTTGTTTATTATGTAAAACTTTAAACTGCCCTGTTGCTGTAATGTCTTGTACTAATTAACTTGATAACTTTGAGTCATGCACTCCTCCATGATGCTGTTTTCTGCTCTGAACTGGATCCTGAATTGGATCTTGAACTGGATCCTGAACTGGAACCTGAACTGGATCCTGAATTGGATCTTGAACTGGATCTTGAACTGGATCCTGAATTGGATCTTGAACTGGATCCTGAACTGGATCCTGCTCCAGGTCTGTAGAAACCTCCAGACTGAGGTCAGATGTAGTGAATGAAGGAGTGAACGTTTCCTATGAAGCAGTGAAGTGTTGGTCCTGAACTCAGCGGCTTGTTGCCATGTTGGAGCGGCTCCTGTTAGAGAGCAGCGGTTCTGGAACCGTTCAGGTCCAGATCTGGTTTTGAGGAAGTTGTTCTGCTTAGAGTCAGAAGGAGCAGTAAAAACGTTCAGGCTGAACATCAGCATCACCTGAGGAGCAGACCAGCAGCTGGTACCATGGTAACAGCAGCATGATTTCACAGCAGAACCTCAGAGTACAGAAACTGGACCAGTTAACCCAGAACCAGCAGCACTTAGGCAGGTCCATTAAAACCTGCAGTTTGTATCTGAGAGACTAGAACTGCTGTTCTGGAACGTTCTAACTTCTCACCTTCAGATGGACGGAGGACTTCACTCGGGTTCAGATCCAAACATCGGGTCACAGGAGGCAGGATGAAGAACCGTCTGATCAGAGAGAAAGAACCAAAAAACAGAGAATGAAGAACTGAAAAGAAAACATAAGGTTCTGCAGCTCCTGAGCTTCCATCTTTAATCCAAACATCTGGATCAGAACACAGACTTCTCCTTAATTATCAGATTATTGTTGACTTTATTATTATTTCTGCTCTGTTCTTTTCCTGATCACTGACCTCCATTGTGTGTTTTCAGAGAGTCTGGGAGGATCAGGGAGTGGTGACTGAGCTCAGAGCTACAGAATCAGAACCAACAGGTCCATCCAGATTCCAGCAAACAGAACAAACATTTACCTTCCTGCTTCTCTGTCAGCCACTAAACATTTCTGGACAGGTATTTGTTGTTTATCTGATCACCTTCCTCCAGAATCTGCAGCATAAAATGAACTGATTCAACATCAACGACATTCATGTTTGTTTTCCTCCTGCTTTGTTTGGTGGAATCAGAAAGTTTGCTGGAAACACAATCCAACATGGCTACACATCGTTCTAGAACGGGGAAATTAAAACCTGTTAACTTGTTGGTTATTGTTTACTGCCACAATGTTATCTGAGGTTTTGACTAATATACAAGTCATCTAGAGATAATTCAACATTAAGAAGAGCAACAAGAATCATCCATGATGCTGGGCTCATAAATCCACTGTTTTTAAAAACCAAAATACTCCAAATGTAGACATTTAGTTGACTTCAAAACTCTACAAATATTAAATAAAGCAAAACAAAGTTTACAACTGGAAAACATTCAGTGAAAGAGAAGAAGGAAATGAATCTAAGAAACAAATATCTGTAGCTGAAATGAAACAAATGTTTGTTAGAAAGTGAAGCAGATTATTTTTTACATCAATTTTAAAAAAAAACTAAAACTCAACACATTTAAACAATATGCTGTCTCATAACTTGTACACCTAAATATATTGCAACAGAATAAATTCTTTTTAGAATAATTTACTGTATTTTTCACAAATTATTTGTAAGAAAGGAAAGTTTTACTACAGTCTGCTCCCTCAGAGCAACTTTTCTTCTTTATTGATTCATTGATTCATGTGCCTGTGTGTTTATATGTATATATGTACATATACATAAAGAACTGTCTGATGACATGATGCCACCAGATCAAACTGACAGCCTCACTGGACAGAAGTTGGACAGTTTTCAGATGCAGCCGAACATGAAGAGGCATCAAATTAATTATTTACTGATAAAAGCCTCTGAAGAAAGAGAAACATTTAAAAATCCTCCTGGATCAGAACCAGGACTGATTTGAATCCAATGGGAGTAACTTTATCTAGAAATAGTTTTCACCCCCGTCTTCTGACACCTCATATCTCAGCTGGTCACAACTGGTGAAGATCTACTGGTCCCAGTTTGACTCTAGTGTATTAAACTGGAGCTTCTTGGGTAGTAACTACTTAGTTACTCTGTTACTTGAGTTACATTTTTGAAAATAGCATTTCAGGAGTATTTTTACGATGCTGTTCTTTGTACTTTTATTTAGAAGTATCTGATGTTGAAGTCGTGCGACTCCAGAGAATCATTTCTGGCTGATCTGCCCACCTGTGCCGTTCATTTCATTTCTCCAATCTGAAAATAACCAGAAACACTGACTGAGCTCAGAGCTACAGAACCAGGACCAATGGGTCGGTCCAGATTCCTGCGACAGAACAAGTGTTTACCTTCTGCTCTAAAGGGGCTGGGCTTAAACAACTGATGAGGATTTTGCAGACATGAATCATAATCAGAGACCCACTGGTGTCCCAGTCTGTTTACTGGGAGAGTTGAGATGAGGCTTCTTGTGATGTCATCAGAGGCTCGTTATGAAACAACTGAACAGAAACACGGAGCAGGACGTGTTGCTCTGCAGGAGACAGACTAGAATTTATTCACAGTTCAGCTCAGCAACAGGAAACTGCAGCTTTAAGAGAGTTTGTTGGTTCTGATTAACAGGAAACCAGAATCCGACCAGAACCACAGCTCCATGAAGCCAGCTACTTGGTTCTGAAGGAGAACCGGGCCGAGTTCTGGTCCCTCCACAGAAAGAAAACCCAGAGAGAGGAAAACAAGAAAATGTGAAAACTTACCTGATCCATACTCTGCTCTGCTGCGAAATGGAGTCTGAACCAGTTAGTCCTAATCCTCATCCGTACCTGAGGCTCCGCCCCCTTCAAGGTGACTTTAAGCATCTGGAAGCATCTTAGACTCCTCCCCCTTTCAGGTGACAATTAACACTTTTACTTTCATGTTTCTCTTTGTATCACCAGTGAGTTGAGCTGTAAAACTTTAGGTCACATTTGATCTTTTCAGGTTTTTCTCAGTTTTCAGCTCTTTTCCAGCCAACATTTTATTGCAGGAAATCATTTCAATAAGAAACTAGAAGATTCATTTTCTTCTTTTCTTGATTTTTTTTTATCAAGAAAAAAAAAAAAATCAACTTACATTAATGTTGTTAAATCAGAGTCACTACTGGAGTCATAACTGAATATATAACTAAACTTCAATAAAAATCTTCTCAAAAAAAAAGATGAACTGTGGGAAATTTTGAGAATCACGGCCTGAAAATATAATTATTAATATATATATGTCAAACATTAAAACAATTTTTATAATAAAACACTCGGAAAGGTAATAAATGTACCCTAATTGTTTGAAGCAGGTTAAAGAAGAAGCCTAGAGAAAAACATAACAGCATTTATCATTTAAATGGTTCTTATGTGTTTTATTTAAACATCTTCAGTCTGAATAACATAAAAATAAACTTTTGCCTTTATTAGAAGCTTAAAAATCTCAGATTAATTTAACAGGATGTTTCTGTTTTAACAAGCTGTCAAACTAAAAATGAAAAAAAAAATTGTTCTGTTGAACATTTTGAAAAACTTGAATGACTCATCATTAAACACAGAGGAACCCAAATTATATTAGAAATATAATAAACAATTATGACCCAATCAGCACATTATCCCAGTGATTCTCCGAGGTCTCAGTAAATCAGTAAATCTCAGTAAAGAGTCTGATGAGACACATCGAGTCCTAAAACTCAAAACATGAAATATGGGGTTAAAAAAGTAAAAACCACAATAAACTGAGAAAAATTAAATCTGAGAATCAATGATGATGCAAAACTTCATTATTTAGATTTTATAATGAACATAAAAGAAAAAAAAACATGTAAATCTTTTTTCTCAAATAAAATGATGGATGGTCAGAGATGGAACCGGGTCAGAGATAGATCTGGGTCAGAGATGGGGCTGCTGTTAATGTTATTTAAATACTTTTCTGAACTGAAAATAATTTCAGTTTGAAATGAGTACAATTTAATTTGCTGCTCTTGAATAACAGTTTATTGTTTCAGAGAGAAAAACAACGAAAGTAAAATGTATTATTTCAAATGAAAGCTAACAGAGGAATTCGTTTCTATGGCTCTTATTGTGAAAGTAACAGCGGAAGTGAATGTGGTTTGTAAACGCTCTGATTTTCTCAAGTAGCTGTAGTTACCATCTGGGTCCACTAGAGGGCAAAATCCGCCCTGCTCTAATAGTTCAGTTCGTGACTCTGTAGCTAAAACATCAACATCATTCTGATTCCAGGATAATTTAACTTTTCTTAAATATTTTCCTACCTTCAGACCGGAAGCTCAGCATCTTAGCGTATAAACCAGAGCTGTAGAGCTTTGATTCAGCTCTGTTGGAGCTGAAGCTCCAGTTTAGGAGCCACAGCTCCCCTGAAGCCGCTGCTCGTCTGTTAGCATCGTTAGCTCCGCTCAGAGTCTCTGCGGATGTTTTCATCTGTGGAGCCGCTTCTAGTTCACACTGACAGATAAAAACAATTTCCAGAAACCAGCTGCAGCTCCACAATCTCGCCTCTATTTTCAGAAAGGGGTATTTCCTCCATCTGGTGGCCATAGTGGGAACTACAGCCCTGATCATGCTGCATTATTTACAGTTAATATTCACTTAATGTGGAGTTTAGAGAAAACAAACAGTCTTCCTGAATCATATTGACAGTTTACTAACTCAAATAATATTCTGACATATTTTAATTCAATGTTTGGAGTTATATATGTAATAAAAACTGTTTTAAATCATAAAATAAAGCTGCTGTCTTAAACTATTTACAAGACATTTAATTTCTAATCAGACGGAATAAAATCCTGCAGTGACTCTTATTTAACAACAGTAATGTAAGCTGACTTGCTTTGACTTTATAAAAGTGAAAATTAAAACAGAGATAAACATCTGGTTGAACAATTTCTATTGATGATGTAAATAATGAATAAATCCAGAACGACGGCAGGGTGACCGATGGAGAATGTCCTGATATGTGAGGAAAATTAACTGTTTCATCTCATGTAGATCTGAACATATAAATTTTATCCAAGCATCATCAGAGGTTGAGTCGCTCGTCCCGCCTGTATCAGCGCTGAATTTTCCTGCTGACCTGAACACATCTTCAGTAAAACCAGCCTCACTGAAGCCAATAGACCAGAGCTACGTTGCAGGAAAACTCTGAAGCTTCTTGCTGGTTTTGGCCTCTAAACTGAGACACGCTCTCATAAGAAGTGAAATGTTGCACTAGGTGCAGGAGATGACCTTTAACCCCTTATCCCAGGTTTTAGGCGGTGTTGAGAAGAGCGAGGCTCCTGATCTGCTGTGAGTGACGTGACGCTCGGTGGAAGTTCTGCATCCTGTTGCAGTTTCATGTTGGAGACGTGAGGTTTTGCTTCTCCTGTCAGGAATTTGATGGGAAACGAGTCACAACATTCAGTTGATTTCGTCAAAAGCTGGAAAATAAAACTGTTCTCCTTGAACTACAGCTGTGCAAACTGATCCCATCACATCTGTGAGCAACATGGAGTTGATCTCTGGTTCAACTTTGACCTTTTCTTCCTTCTTGTTGCATCAGAAACTTAAAGTGAATAAAGATGGTTTGAGTGAAACCAGGTTTCAGGTGGACTGAAGTCGTCTTCACTGTGAACTTCATCAAATTTCTGCTTCACAACAAAACCTTTCAAATCCAAGCACACATCCAAGCAGCTGAGTCCAAATGATCCACGTTCAAATATTGTTTCTTTTCTCTGCAGGATCTGGTCAGGACGTCTGGATCTCAAGTGGATTTAATGCCACAGATCCAGAGAAAGTTTTACTGTTTGGCTCTGAATCTATAGAGCTGCTATCATGTCTGATTTTAGATCAACTTTTTTCATCACAACAGAATAAAATTACAGTTTGTCCCATTAACAAGTTTTTAATGAAATTAATGTTTCATGTTTCTACTCAATTTAACTTTTCTAACGAACTCAGAGTATTTTTCTCTCTTTTGTTCCTGCAGATCATCAAACAGATCAGATGAAAAATAAAACTGAAAATCTTCAACATCCTGATCGACATCTGGAAAACATTTGAAATAGAAAAGGAAAATGTTCTGAGGTCAGAGGTCATCATCTTGATCCAGAGTCTCTTTAGACTCAAACTGCTGCAGCTTCAACCTGTAAGGATCAGCAGGACACAGAGACGTTCTCTACTTTACAGAGATCAGAACCTGCAGAGAGAAGAAGGAGAGCAGATCAGTGAGTGTTTCCAGTCTCTCCAGCAGCAGTCAGTGACGCAGCACATCCAGTAGATGGTTTCCAGGCTGCAGTCAGACTGATCTCAGAGCTGTGACCAAGATGAACCTGATCAGTTGTTTCCTGTTGAACTGAGAGAACAAGCAGGTCTGAGATCAGATCTGCTGCTGTTTGATGAATGAGGACCACTGTCTCTAGACATGTTGGGCGGCTGGACGCTGGAGTCCAGCTGGACGTCCTGGAGACATGGACACAGCAACAACACAGCAAGCTGCTGCTCCTCTGATTGGCTGATTGCTGTCTCTGTGTCCAATCAGGAAGCCTGAACCATTCTCCTCCCACTGAGAAGCTGCAGCTTTACTGGGAACACTGGAACTTTGCTTTGATGCTGACTGGGTTTAGTTCAATATGCTGACAGCAGCTGGACTCACTACAAACATTTACTTACCATAAAGTCTTTACAAGATCCTTCAGCTGATGAACATCTGATTTCTTCAGCTTGTTTCCTCTCAGGTTCAGATATGTCAGACGGGTCGGGTTGGACTTCAGAGCTGAGGCCAAATAATCACAGCTGATCTTTGACAAACTGCAGCTCCTCAACCTGAATAAAGAATAAAAGATGTGAACCAACAGGATGCAGGTTAACCAGTCCAACAGAACCAGTTAAAGATTCTCATGAATTTTAATACCAACAAGCTGCTGCTCCAATAAACCTGCTGACTTCAGAACCAGAACCAGAACCAGAACCTGGTACTGGGTCATGATGTGTTGGAGGATTTTAGTCAATAAAATCATTCCAGGTTCTGATCAAAGTGTTGAAGCATCAATCATTGATTATTGATTTGTTCCTGTCAGATTCCAGGAATTCACTTTTCTAGACTGGATGACCTTTGACCTGCTTGACCTGAGGGGGATTTCTACACACTGGGGTCCGAATGCTGTCCTGTTCTGACCTCAGATCAGCAGGTCCAACTCAGTTACACAGAGAAACTAAATTAAACTCTGGATCCAAGTCCAGGAACAAACTCAGAAAATATGATTAGATCAGAAGAAATGAACTTTGATTTATGATCAATTATATAGAATTATTCACAGAAATATCAATAATTGTATCATTAAAATACCTCAATGTATTCAGTCTGCAGCCTTCAGTCTGTAGAAAACCACAGAGATCCTTCAGTCCAGAATCTTCCGGGTTGGTTCTGAACAGGTCCAGTTCTGTCAGATGGGTCGGGTTGGACTTCAGAGCTGAGAACAGAGACGTCCAGCTGGTCTCTGATAAACTGCATTGATCCAATCTGAATAAAGAATAAAAGATGTGAACCAACGGGATGCAGTTAAAACTGAAATATGAACAAATAAATAATAAAAATGTATAAATTAATTTCCCTGAATGTAAAAGAAACATGATGAACTGATTCTAACATCTGATCCAGTCAAACTGGTTTAAAGAGTCCAAACCAGCAGAACCAGAACATTTGATCAACAAAGAAACTCAAAGTTTGTCTCAAAGTTTCTGAGGATCTCATCACATTCTGAAAATTGATCATTTTGTGCTGATTCAGTTTCTGAACCATCAACTAGAAAATATTGATCCTTTTTTCTGTGAGGTCATTGTGGGTCATTTAGTTCCGGTTCTGAATCGTTCATCAGAGACGCTGCAGAAATGGGAACATTATCATAAAGGAACAACCTGATAGTGAAGATGAATCATTTAAATCTATTTTCCAGTAAAACACATGAGAATGATTTCAGTGAACTGCTGAAGCTTGTTGCATACAAAGCATTACAAAGGTAAGACCTCACTTCCTGTCCTACAAAATGAGAGCTGAATCAAGATGTTTGAACAAAATGACTTTAACAAAGTCAGTATTTCCTGCAGGACTGTTAATGAATCTTCTTGATATTATTTATGTGTCTTCATGTCCAGGATCTCTGCCAGCAGACTGTGGTCATCCTGATAGAGTCTGACTGTCACAACAAACTCAGATTTTCCTCTGGAAGCTGCTCTCACTGGTTTTAGGACGACTGACTTTCATTTGCTCCATTAGTGGAATTGACACTAAAATGGAAATTCATCACTTGCTTCCATTTAGTTTTGCTTCCTGCAACATCAAACTGCTGCATGTGCTGCAGCTCCATATGAGCAGCAGTCAAGTCCCCAGAAAGCTTCCCTGTTTCTAGGAACCATTTCATCTAGTTAGTCCACTTTCTCTGTCCGTCTCTGTCAGACTGTGAACCTTTAGTCTGAGCTTGTGGAGAACCTCTCCTAACAACCTGCTGCAGATCCATGTGATGCATCTCTGCTGGTTCTGATTCTGGGAGCAGAAACTCATGTCCTGAAGAATCTGCAGCCTGTTGAGCTCAGAGAAAAACTCAGAGGTCTGGATTTATTCAGATGAAGCTGAAGTTGGTTTCTGATTGAATCTTCTGACTCAGGAAGTGGATAAAGGGCCATTCCACCTAATTATTGACTATCAGCATCTTTAATCTGGTCTAGTTAAAACACTGCAACACCTGGACTCTGTGAACCTGGACTGGATCATCATCAACTAATAGCAGGAGATTTAAAGCTAATGTGGGATTTATGGATCTTCAATAAAGGGACATTTCATGTTGACCTTTGACCTGCTTGACCTGAGGGGGATTTCTACACACTGGGGTCCGAATGCTGTCCTGTTGTTACCTCAGATCAGCAGGTCCAACTCAGTTACACAGAGAAACTAATTTAAACTCTGGATCCAGGAACAAACTCAGAAAATATTGATTAGAACAGAAGAAATGAACTTTGATTTATGATCAATTATATAGAATTATTCACAGAAATAGCAATAATTATATCGTTACATACACCAATGTTATCAGTCTGCAGCCTTCAGTCTGTAGAAAACCACAGAGATCCTTCAGTCCAGAACCTTCCAGGTTGGTTCTGTACAGGCCCAGTTCTGTCAGATGGGTCGGGTTGGACTTCAGAGCTGAGAACAGAGACGTCCAGCTGGTCTCTGATAAACTGCAGTCCAATCTGAATAAAGAATAAAAGATGTGAACCAGCAGGATGCAGTTAAAACTTAAATATGAACAAATAAATAATAAAAATGTATAAATTAATTTCCCTGAATGTAAAAGAAACATGATGAACTGATTCT